CTTGTTATGAGATTTGCCGAAAAGCACAACGCATATAAATGTAGCTTTACTCAATAAAGATATATACATCATTAAAAGTTTAATTACGTAGGTTGCGTATTATAAAATACCTCATTGTAATTAAATTTAAAAGCACATTTAATTTTGTTGTAAGTCTTTGAAATGAAATATCTTTAAATTAATACAATATTTAAAAAAATTATAAAATTTAAATGTTGATTAAAATAAAATTTCCTTATTTAAAAATCTTATACTCAGTGCCGTCTTGAAGATATTTTAAAGAGAAAGGAAGGGGGGGAATGACGTTTACCAACTATTTTATCTTTATTAAAAAAGCCTTGTTGGTCGACATTTGCCAACTGCTAACAATAGAACCAATTGTGTCGACTCCAGTGTCTAATTTGCCGACCAATAAAATTTGTAGGGAACTAGATATCCATTTATGCTCCTAACACCCTTACCCCCGCCCTTGGTACGGCCCTGCTTATACTTAATTAAACTTAATTTTTATTCTTTAAAACACTTGTTTTATTGTTATTTTTTTTTTAGATAAGGGGACACTTGTTTATAGTTGATTTCTTAAAGGGATTTAAATGTACTTACAACTACACAATTGGAATGGATTTTCCCTTTATAAAAAAACATTTGCGCTACCTAAAGCATTTTAGTAACTGGCTTTTGATAAAATAAAAATTGTTGTTAAACAATTATTACCACTTTTCGACTATGTTTTTTTGTATTTACATTAAAATATTTTATTTTTATGTACCCTGAAACCTAATGTAATTTTACTATTTTTTACTAAATCCAAAAATAACAAATAGTATATTCGGTTTTAAGATGTTGTTAACAGAACTTGTTTTTAACAAATATCAGTATAATCTTGAAATTTGAGTATCTTATATTTATAGACTAGTATCAGTTTTGTTTTTAAAATAAAATAAATTCAAGTTGGGTTTTTAAAGAGTTTATGAGCCACTTTCTGTAAGAATCAGACAAAAATATCAAATTATTAGAGTGACCTCTTTTAAAATTGCTAATTTTTTAATATGTTGTTGCTAATCATACTAGAATAACAATTCGAAAATTAAAAAAAAAAAAAAATTGGTTCTCTATATATTAGAATTTTTTGAAATATTGAATAAATGGTGATGAAGGCATGTTTAAACTTGTAAAAAAAAAAAAATTGAATACTTTACAATGAGTATTTTACTTTATTATTGTTTATTTGTTAGTTCAGACCAAAAATTAATAAAATTGGTAAAAAAGTTTTTTTTCCTTTAAAATATGCAAAAAATGATTTTTTTTTCTTTTTTTTTTTTCATTCGAAGCCGCAAATATCTTATAACTTTTTTTTGTTATTATAATTCTTAACCTAGTTAAGTACCTAAAAGTATCAAAACATCTATGGGGAAGTAAAGACTTAGCCCCAAAATTCAACTCAAAAACGAAATTCTAATCTTTTGACGCATTGATTTTGACACGATTTTGATTAAAGCCCTGGGTTCCCTGTAAACTTCAATTTTGAAAAACTTGTATTGACCTTTAATCTACTTTATTTTTAAAATACCCATGGGTTATTGCAATAGTTCAGAAGAAATAACAGAAATAGTAAAGATGTTTTCTTGGTGCTTCTATATTTATTTATAAGCTTGAATAAATGTTTCCTTGTTACTCTATCATTTACAAGATTAGTGTTCAGTTAATCTTGGAACTGAAACAATTTTAGTTTGTTATAATATACTGTAAATAACAAAAGCCTCTATAAACTTTTCATTTTTTTTTTTTTATTAAAAAAAAACAGTACTCCAATTTTCTAATCACAGGCAATTTTAAGCTTGACCATACCATATGGTCTAACAACACTGCAACCACCACAAACCTACTAGCTGATGAATTCATGGAGCTATATAAAATACATCATGCATTACAAATTTATTAGGAACTGTCGATCTCATTCTCAATGGCAAGAGGCTATAGTGTAGATGCTTTATATCTAGATTATAAAAAAGCATTTGACACACCTCTTCATTATCTTATGCTTCACAAATTTTCTGCTTATCCCATCTCTTATATTCTTCTTAATTGAAGAAATTCATTTCTTTCTAACAGAACACAACGAGTTACTATTTTTTTCTTTTTTCTTCACTTTTTTGTTTGTTATGTAATAAACATTTTTTGAAAAAATTATCATACTCAGGTGCTGTGTTAGACCAATTCTTAGGAGATCATCAGGTTTTTTTCGTTTTCTTTTTTATATGTACTTTGACAGCAGTGTCTTTTAAATACCTTTTGTTTAAAAAATATTGCTTTTGTTTAACAAAATTTTTTCTCCATTTACCCTCTTTTATGGCAATATACTGTTTATTAGGGACATTCTTGAAAAAACAAAAAAACACTTATATCCATGTTTTTTAATAAATGTTTATCCCTCATTGGGCAATTGTTTTTTTGTTTGAAATTATAGTTTTCTGTTCTTTTTTTATTTGGAATTTTGTTTTTGCATTAAAAGACGTTATTGTGGCCTTTTTTTAATTCTTTCCACATTTTTTGTGCAACTGCAGCTAACTTTAATTTTATATAGTGTTTATTCAATTTTTAAAACACTTTTCCTATACTTGAGGAAAAATCTTTGCTATATGGTAGAACTAGTTTATGTTTTTAGTTCAATTTCACACACACACACACACACGCACGCATGTATATATATTTTAAATGTTGAAATAATCAAAATTTTAATGCTTATTAAATATATATTTGTTCTTATGATATTTACAACGTTCTTATTACAGAGCACTAAGAAATAGCATTTAACTAAGAGGTTCACACTCTTTTTTTGCATATGTAGGAAAGCATGCCCACAGCTAGCATTAAATCCTGTAACCCTGAAAATATTTTTATTTTCTTCTATAATTAATCCTTCTTTCATATTATTTTATTAATTAGTTACTGTAAATGACACAAAATCAGCCATGCTATACATACAGTTTGCTTAATTGACTAGAGGTTACCTGCTAACTGTTTTATAAAATGAAGAATTCTATTCCACTTTAGATACTTCTGGCTACATTACAGTCACAGCATGTATGCACAGTTAATCTTGTCACTTATTCGAAATATAAAACACACTTTTGTATCACATGCATTTGCCTGTTAGGCTACGAAACATACAATTTTAGATTATTAGTTGTAAAATATGTATACAGATTATTAGTTTTAAAGCACATATACAAGTCATTTTTGCTGTATTGGTAACTCTGTTTAACATTTCTAGATTATAGAGTTTTAATAGTTTGTTACTATTTAAGATACTTAAGATAAGTTTATTGGACTCCTAGTACTCACGTCTAGCTTTTGTTACACCAATTTAAATGACTTTTAACTATTTTTATACTGATAACTTTTACTATCAAAACATTCTACTACAATAGTTACAAACACGTACACTACATTGACTACTTACATCACACACACACAGCTATAAGAACTCAAAACAGTTCATAAATCTCATTGACTCGTGTTGCACTGCGACAACCCACTGCACTTATGGACACTAATGTCAAAAAATTACTTATAATTGTTTTCAAGTTGTACTGAACCCCACTAAATGTCCTCTGGTGTCAATTCAGAAGTCTGTGGCAATTGTCCTGACGAGACACTCTGAGAATAGTCCTTTTAGAATAACACAATAGGATACCTTGAGAAGATACCCTGGTGTAGATACCCTTGGTTTTTGTCTTATGTTTTTTATCAACAACAGATCCTATATTGTAAACATCATATAGAATGAAAATCTGGCTCATCTAGACTTTATAAACTAGTGCAAAATTATTACCTGCCTTTTGTTGTTTTGCTCGCCTCATTCTCCTTGATTTAGCATAAAAGCCATTTCTAGAACCATATGCTGTTCTGTTTGAGCTCTGCAACAGAGTGGTAAGACTTAAGACACAAGTCACTATGAATATTATTAAACAAAAAACAGGACATGCTATACATACAGTTTGTTTAATTAACTAAAGGATACTTGCTAACAGTTTTATAAAACGAATAATTCTACTCCACTAATTCTGTCTATACATCACATTTACACTCGACACTAAAAACAATTTAGTAGCAGAACAATTAATATCTCTTACTTTCCTTGACTATTCTTTATTGTTCTTATTTATTTTATACTACATATTACTTATATCATTTTTAAATATTTTTCTACTTTGAGGCTCTGGACATCTGTCCTTTTTGTACTTTTATCTCACTCTGCTAAACTCTTTTTAACTTATTGTTTATCCCTAAGACATTCACTGCTTGGTGCAGCTTCACTAAAATGCATTGTATTTACAAAAAGTAATGCATAAAGTTGAGATAATTTATTATTTAATTATTATCATAATGCTGGATAAAAGAATTAAAATGCTATCGGTTGGAAAATCAGTAAATTATTAAAAAAAGGTCGATGCTCAACAGTGTATATATATATATATATATATATATATATATATATATATATATATATATATATATATATATATACACCTGCTACATGCAGCCATATTTTTTATAAGTGTAGTTATATTTCAAGGTTACAAAAGTTTTTAAACTAATATATAAGCAATAGTTTTTGGCCTATCAATTGATGACAGTTGTGATGGTGATAATTTTCTTTTTAAATCAATTTTTTTATATAAGTGTTTAAACTGAAAGATTAAAATATTGAGTAATTATATAAAGATTATTTACAAGTTGAAATAATATTACAACAGCTGCGTTGGTTTACAAGGTTAGCCTCTAGAACCAAATTATCAGGCATATTATTTTCAAAGTTAGCCACTAGAATCACATTACGACTTGTCATCATTAAATTAAAATATAAACATACACAAAATTTAGAGTTTATTACCAATATAAAAGATTGATATTGTAGCATGCCATGTTTATATTGCTTCTATAATTAACAAATAAACTAAATACATTTTGTATATTTAATTTAAAATTAATTTTAGATATTAATGAATGCACAGACTCAAGTAAATATTGCAATTGGGCAAACAGTGATTGTATCAACACCAATGGAAGTTACTATTGTACTTGCAAGTCTGGTTGGAGATTAAATGAATATAGTAACAGCTGCATTGGTCAGTTTTTGTAATGTTTAAACATTTTTTGTAATAATAACGAGTGATGTGGAAAAATCTTGGACAAATCTGAATTGATTTATTTGAACATAATAATTTATTTTTGTGGTTTTATGTGTAGCCATAAAGGTTCTATAAAATGTAAACTTATTATTTGAAACAGGATAATTATAAATAATGTTAAATGCAGCCGTACAGGAATCTTTTTGAAAGCGACTTAAAATGTTTTTTGTAAATAAGCCTAATATTATAAAAAAAGAAATTGTAGGTCATTTTGAAAAGAAAGGTTTTTGTCTAAAATCAGCAAATGAAATTTAATTGCATAATTACACAATCCCAAAAATTGTATATTAAATATATCATTAATTTAAAGTGATCTCATATAAATAAATACAATATATCCTTTGCTAAATGGTATACAAACATTAGGTTAAGAAAGTATTTTGATCTTACTTTGGCAGTTATTTTGTTAAAATGTTAAGTTTGACCTTAAGTTGGATATTGTATGTCATCAGTTTTATTTCAAGATTTTTTTGTGTATAGCTGTTTGAAATGAAGATAAAAATAGTTAGCGATTACAAGAAGATTATTTATAAGTTGATTGATTTTTTCAAAAACACACCTGTTGGATTATGCAATCTGCTATTATTAATTTTTACTTATTAAGTCTCCTTAAAAATAACAATTAAAAATCGGCATTTTTCCTTAAATTCTAAAATATTTTAATTAAAACTGAGAAAATTGTTTTTATTTCAATAAGTGATAAAAGCAGAAACTTTCAGCGTAGAATCATTTTTAAAGCTCATCGATCTAGTAAATCTGGATTGGTCAAAAATGGGCTTCATTTCTCACTAAATCTAAAATTTATTTTAGCATCACTAAAATTCATATTAGCATTTCACTATTAGCTCACTAAAATTTATATAAACATTTCAAATCTTATTTAGATTAAAACAGATTTTTAAAAATGTTTATTTAACTTTAAGCCACGTTATAACTAAATTGCGTTATGGTGCTTTGTAAAAAGTATTAGTTGAAATTTTATATTCAACTTACATTCCCACTCCATTTCATATATTAGAAACTACAGTAAAAAAAAGGATTTTAACCATTCATTAAACTATATCAAACTTACGAAGCAAAAAAACTCTTTACTTTACTTTCCATAACAAAAACTTGTTTTTAGCACAAATTAGTGACAAAATTTTGCAAGCTGAAAAATCAAGGGGAGAGGGTTTTAAGAAATATCCAAATAAAAACTATCGTTATCGTTGTTGCTTTTTATAGCTATATTACTATTAAGCCAGAATTTTATAATCGAGATAAAAAAAATCTTTATTTGACTTATCAAAAATTTCAAATTTTATATCTAAAAGTTTTTAAATTTTAAAAAATGTTTTTATAAACAAATATAAACAACAACATTTTTTTTGTGATTATATATTTGATTTAATATTAAAGACTTCACAACTTATGGTTCGTTGCAAAATCACTTCACTGATTCAAAAGTCTAAAAGAAACAACTACGTAGTTATTATTATAATATTTATTAACAATCAAAGATGAAATGTAATTCCAAAAAAAAAAGGTAATAAAGGTAATTACAGTTTATAGTAAAAAAAATGCTAAAATGCTAAAAAGATAAAACTTACTTTGACATAATATTTGGTTCTTAGAAGGTCATATATTTATTTGGAAGCCAAAAGTAAAGTTGATTTTTATAACAATTAAACTAAAATTAAAATCAAATATAAGCAAAATAAATTTATTAAACTAATTTTTCTTAGCTCTTAGTGAATGATTAATACTAATTAGTCTCAGCAATGAAACTATCTAATAATCATTTTTAACAACAGACACCAACGTGAAGGTGAGCTAAGGAGTCTGTCAAAAAAATATTTGTGCTTTTCTATTAACTTATGAAGCACGTACTTAATAATATTTAATACTGTCATGTCATGTAATTGTCATGAAACAGCTGTTTTTTTCAAAGAATGGCTTTGCAGTATAAATATTCAGTATCAAAGACAGTTTTTTTTCCCAGTATCAAAGACTGTTTTTTAACCAGTATCAAAGACTGTTTTTCTAACCAGTATCAAAGACTGGTTTTTTAACCAGTATCAAAGACTGGTTTTTGGCTTAGCAACAACAAAAACAGTAAGTCAAAAATAAAATTGGCTGTGTTGTTATTTGTCAAAATGTAGTGTCTCTAGTAGTAAAAAAAAAAGTAATAGTTTATCAATTGAGTATATTTGTAAATACAACATTTTGTATGTAAAATTTGTTTAATGACATACCTTGTAATGAATGTTTATCAACTTTAAAAAACAAACTATTAAACGATCTTGTTCTTGAACATGCAACATATAATTGACTGTGTGAAAAGCAAGACTTTTCAAGATAAACACCAACTTTATCAAAAGTTTGACCTTGACTTTTGTTTATGGTCATTGAGTATGCTAACCTAACTGGAAACTGGCGATGTTTGAGTATAAAGGGTAAATTTGAATCCGATGGAGCTAATTGAACTCGAGGAACAAAGATCCTGTTACCAGCTGCTACCCCTGTTAGAACCTCCCCATCATTATAATTGTTGTGCAGTGCACGTACCATCAAATGTGTTCCATTACAAAGTCCACCTTTAAGATCTAAATTTCTAAGTAGCATTACAACAGCACTAATTTTCAATTTTAGGCAATGAACAGGCATAACTGATGGAGTCAAACTATTTAAAAACTCAACTGGAAAATTATAAATTTCATAATGATCATCAGTTTCAATGCTATCTGAACTCAAGTAAATTTTAGTATCACCAGGTAAACAATCAAGGACTTCTTCATTTATTGCCAATGAATCATCATTTGTTTGTGTTAAAATAGCACGGTTAGCATAATCAGCATCCTCTGTGCCACCAAAAATCTTTTCCACAATAGATTCATTATTGTTTACAAAGCACTGCTCAGGTATTTCAATGCACCCTCGCAGAGGATCTTCAGGCTTGACAGGTAAAGGTCCACTTCCAAGCTTTAGAAGCCATTGAGAAAATTCCTCTTCTCCTATCTGAACCCTCATATTTTCAGTTAATGAAAACATTTGCACATACTGCCAATGTTCAGAACATTTTATACATGATTCTACAACTTCAGCTGGTCGACCACTTTTCACAACTGGAAGTATTTGTCTAAAGTCTCCACCCATAAGAATAACTTTACCACCAAAAGGAATCTTATTATTACAAATATCTTGTAATGACTTATCAATAGCACTCAAAGCATGTTTAGGAATTATAGACGCTTCATCAAGTAAATACAAACTTACTTGTCTAAGGAATTCACCATGAATAGAATTTGGAGTTACATTACATGTGCTATTTTCCAAAATTGGCACAGGAAGTTTGAATAAGCCATGCAGTTTGCATCCATTTTTAAGAAGAGTTGCAGCTATTCCTGTCCATGCAGTTGTTGCAATTAATATGTCTGATGCGTGTTATAGCTATTAAATAATTGTAAGTAAATGTTTTACCACAACCAGCAGGCTCATCCATAAAAACAATTTTGAATGCTTATTTTCATTATAAGGTCCTTCATTAAGTGCAGCAAAGATTGCATCAGCTACATTACGCTGATTATCATTTAATAATGGTCTAACTCAATTTGCTTCATCAATAAATACCTGTACATCTTCATCGTCATTTTCTGGGACAGAATCTAAAAACTGATCTAAAGTAGGCAAATTATAATCAGCTAAAGTTTTACTACTCTGATTAATTATAGATTCAATTTGACGAAGAGCTACTTGTTCAGCAAGTAGGACTGGCATTAAACGGTGTATGTAATCCTCCACCATATAATCTTTAAAGGTATTCCAAAGGTGTAAAGGATCATCAGGTTGACACAATGTCAATATGATGGAAAACAGTTGCCTAATTTGTTTAGGCAATCCAGTTGCAACAGCCTCAGTTAATGTATTTCTCCATTCAATGTCATCTTGCAACAGACCTAACTGATAACACGCTTCATGAAATGTATTAACAGTACCATTCACAGTGCGCAAATTCTCGAAAGATATACCACATATATTGAAATTCCATATCACAAAGTGATATGGAATTTCAATATAAGAATAGCGATGTGCTTCAAAATTTTCTGCATTTAATTTAAACCAAGCAGTTAAGTGAGTGTCACGCTGTGCTGCATAGCTACTTGTTCTTCTCCCTCGTTAAAATATACTATCTGATTATCAGGAAGGTGCACTTGAAGGCGAATAATGGTATGTAACATATCACTTATGGAATACTCGTATATTCGCCAAAGAGCCTCTGGTGCAGAAACAAAGCAACAGTCTAAATATGTGTTAATTTCATCATGGTGAACACTTTCATTAATTACCACATTAGCACAATCATGCCCCTTATAGATATACTTGTATAAATACTTAACTGACTTAATGGACATGCAAGCCTCAACATTAATGTGGGCTTGGTATTTTTTCGATAACCAGGGATTATAGGGTACAACCCATTGATTATCAACTTGGTTACCTTTTATAACAACTACTCTACCATTATCTAAACACCTATAGTGTGGATAATGTATCATATTGTTCACTTCTAAGTTTACTTTGGTTATTTCTGATGAAGGCAAGGTGTTGTCCTTCAATCTTGACATATGCATCAACAGCATATTGTTGAATAAGCTTCCTACCATAAAATATAGGGCTATAGGTTTCTCTAACAGGAAGCCTATAATTGTAGTACTGAGACAAAGTAACATGATTTCTAACACGTGTTGCTCTGTCTGGATTGTGCTCTAGTTGATCATGCCATCCTGCATCACCTCTTGGAAAAAAAAATTGGATATATCATTGGATCTAGATTAGCAGACATACTTGTTATTTTTTTCAAGACCTGACCTCAAGGGTGTATAACAACTTTTCTAGATGGAGGTGGAGCACCATTGTCTCCTACAAACACAATGGCAACTTCATCGTGTGAAGGTAGA